TGCTGCCGCCCGAGGTGTGGTGCCTCATCGCCGCCTACCTCGGACCCGGCTGGCGGCACCTGGCCCGGCTGAGCCTGGTCAGCCGCTACCTGCACGGCGTCGTGTGGGGCCAGGCCACCGCCATCGACCTCAGCGCCCTCTCCTCCTCCATCGCCTCCTGGTGGCGCAGCTACCTCGCCCAGCGCCGCCACCGACTCCCACCCGACCACGCCCAGCCCAGGTATGTGTGCGGTGTGTGCGATGGTGTGTGCGGTGGTGTGCGTGTGCGGCGAGCTGATAGAACGCACGGGGAGCCAGGGAGGAGCAGGAGGCCGAGTCGCGGGATCCGCTGGAGCACATCCTGCGGTTCGTGCGGCACCACTCGCCCGAGCTGCGGTGGTTGAGCCTGCCGGGCAGCTTCGCCCTGCACCACGCCCCGCTGCTGGTGGCGGATCTGCGACACCTGGCCCTGCACGCCGTCACCGACGCCGAGTCCACCGTCGCCGCCACCGTCGCTCGCCTGCCCTATCTCACCTCCCTCCGACTCTCGGTACCACACGACACGCACAGCACACGACACGCAAGGCACACAACACACGACACACATGACACACGCACACAAACACGACACGCACGCGGGCATGAGCTGATGGTTGTGTGTGGGATAGGGGATGGGGGTGACGGACGCGCTGCTGAACGAGCTGCCCGGGTCGCTCACTTCGCTGTGGGTGGAGAGCCCGTGTCCGGACCCCACGGCCTTCCGCGGCACCTTCCAGCGGCTCCCGCCGTCCCTCACCACGCTCCGTCTCCACCTGTGCCACACGCTGGTCATTCCCCGATTCGATCTCCTGTCTCCTAACCTTCGAACTCTAGGTGCGCACGCACGCACACACACACACACACACACACACCACACACGCGACACACACCACACACACACGACACACACACACACACCACGACAACACGTGTGTGTGCGATCGCTCATATGGTGTCTACCGCCGTTCAGACTTGACTGGCAGTCGACGTATCACGGGTCGCATGCTGGACAAGCTGCCCCGGATGCTGCTCGTGCTGAAGCTGCGCGATTGCCGCAGCATCATGCAGGCCGAGCTCGCGCCCGCATTGACCCGCCTCAACTGTACTCCCCACACATCACTCCCCGCCACACACCTTCCACTTCTTCTGACACAACACACGACACACACACGACACACATGACACACACGACACACACGACACACAACGCACGCACGCACAGTGTTGCAGGAGCTGGACCTGAGGGGGTGCGAGGTAGACGGCAGCGCGATGGCGTTCCTCCCGGCCTCGCTGCGCGTCCTGCGGCTGTCGGGTCCGCTCACCGACGGCATCATGCCGCTGCTCCCGAGGCAGCTCGAGGCCCTCACCCTCTTCAACATGCCGCTCATCTCCGACGACGCCCTGTCCTGCTTCCTGGCCGAGGTCGCCGCGCGGCTCACGTCGCTCACGCTCGCCTTCTGTCCGAAGCTCACCGACGCCGGCCTCAAGCCGCTGCCGCACAACCTGGTCGCGCTCAAGATCAAGGGCGGCGGCCGCAAGTGTCGCATCACCGAGGCGGCCTTCCAGTGTCTGCCCGCCACGCTCCGCCGGCTGCACGTCGCGTCGGCGCCCTTTGTGCACGTCCCCTCCCTCTCGCTCCCGCCCTCCCTCTACTTCGTCCACCGCCCATGAATATGTTTTTATTTATTCATTTATCTATAAATGTAAATATCTGATTTTAAATAAATCGACAAAAAGAGAAATCAAATCACTGGAGGGCAGCTGTGGTGAGGTCCCAGCGGGCCAGCGAGGCCTGGCGCACGGCGACGATGAAGCTGTCGTCGGGGCTGACCGCCAGGTACTCGATGTCGCTCTCCACCTGGTTGACGGGCACCGCCCACACGCAGTCGGTCGGGCTGGCGCCGAAAGGGCTCATCGCGCAGACCCGCCGGCCGATCCAGTCGTCCACCAGGATCGCGTCGGCCGTCGCGCCGCGCACCGTGCGCAGCGACTGGTCGAACTGGGTCAGCATCACCACCGTCGTCGCGTTGCTGTCGAGCCCCTTGGCCGGGTCCACGCACGCCAGCCATTCGAAGTATGTACTGAAGTTGATCCAGTACCTCTGCACCCCGCAGAACTGACGGTGGCCGCCGCCGTCTCCCGGGGCGGTGACGGAGGCCGTCATGTTCCAGGTTGTGGGCGCCAAGTCGGTCATCGTGCGCCAGGCCCACACGCCGCGACCGTCGGTCATCGACAGCGCCTGCATGTTGAGGCCATGCGGCAAGCGTGTGATGGCGTGCGTCACCACGACCAGGTCCTCGGCCTCGGACACCCACACGTCGTCGGCGATGGACTGCAGCGGCACGCGCCACACGTCGGTCAGGTCGAGCGGGTCCACGCGGCGCACCCAGGCGCGGCCGCTGGCGTCGACCAGCTTCTGGACCAGTGTGGTGCGGCCCACGAGCAGGTCGGGCGCCCAGGGCTCGAGCGGCGGCTGGTTGGCGGCGTTGGTGGCCACGCCAGCGGCCGAGCCCCAGCTGAAGCGTGCCCGGGGCCGGGTGAAGTCGGGCTGCGTGTAGCGGGTGAGCGCGAGCTGGGGCGAGCCGGAGCGGAGGGTGGTCGGGTCGACTGCGACGGCGTAGAGGTGTTCGCCCGACTTGAGCGACACCGTGCGAGACGTGTACGGGCTCAAGCTCAGCACGCCCTGAGCAAATCCGGTCTGTGTGCCGTGTCGTCCCATTTTTATGAGCCAAAAAAATAAAAATAAAACTAAAATTAAGAACGAAAGAAAGCGACGAAAAAAGAGAAGGGAAGGGGACCTGGGAGTTAAAGATAGCGAAGCCCTTGAAGACCTCCGTGGTGGCGGAGTGGTTGGCGTAGTAGTCAGCGGCCACCTTAATTCCTCCGCTCATGGCCTTGGCGTCGATCAGTGCGGGGACCACCACGCTGTGGTCACGCGCCTTCACCGCCGGCCCGCTCACGCGCCACGCCTCGGTGCCGTCCGCCAGCCGGCGCCCGGTCAGGTACCACGCGCCGTCCAGCGCCGAGTCCTGGAGAACCACGGCCACCACCGGCGATGTGACTCCGGGGTTGACCAAGAGTGCGGGCGGGGCCGAGGCCTCGGCCGCCACGGGAGATATGCCAGAGGAGAACCCAGTCTGCCAGGCCGTGCGTGGGGCGGCGCAGGTGACGGTGGTGACCAGCAGCACCAGCAGTGCGGCGGTGAGGAAGGGGAGGTGCGCTTGCATGGTGTTGTGCAGTGTTGAGAGGGTTTGTTGATCAAAACAAGAAAGAGACCGAAGGCGGTCTTAAGCTGTTTTGTCAAACGGCGAAAGCCATAGATCCGAGAAGGAGAAGGAGTCCTCCGTTTGTGTTGTCGTTCGACGGACATCTGCAGACAGGATTGGTTCATCACAGCCAATCGGAAATCATGTGGGGATTTTTTATTCTCCGTGAAAAGCCCTATGAAAAAAATCCCATTGGCACATCCAGACAGTGTTGTGGTATGTGCAGAAACTGGCGTGGAATGTGGCCAAATGACCGTGAATTCCTTTGTAGACACCCCTCCGTTCAGGTCCACAAACAAACCTTGCCGCTCCGCAGTCGTGTGTGTAATGTGCAGTATATAACCAACTCGTCAACTCTTGGTGGCGGCGAGGCAAACACAGGAAATGAAGTGGACGTGGCTTCTCCGTGATCAAAGTGGGTTTATTGTGGGCAGCTGATCGACCACGACGGTACGACAGGGAGATCTTGTTGGCCAGCAACATGGAGGATCAGGCGAGTCGGGAGAAAGCTAACGGCCTGGAACACACGTGTGACAAAATAGATACATGCATTGTGAGTGAGGTGTGTGGGAGGCGTAAGGTAGCGACAGATAGAAAGATGAGAGAGCTGCAGTCATTTTCAGCTTGCTAGAGTAGGTCCACATCGTAAATTGTGTCATATTCGGACAGGGATAACTATAAATTACATCCTTTCATGCTGCGCGTCCGCTGGTGATGGTGGTGCACGAGCGGCAGAGAAGGGGGTGCATACCTTGTGAGCGTTGGAGTTGAGGTTGTTGGCGATGAGCTTGGCTTGGGTGATTGCGGTGATCCTCCTTGAACATGGCCATTGACAAGAGCCTGACTGTTGACAGAGGAATTGTGAGCACGGGTGAAGGGGAAGAGCAAGTAGATAGGTAAGCAGAGAGCAGCAGTGTTTTCAGTTTGCTAGAGTAGGTCCACATCGTAATTGTGTCATATTCGGACAGGGATAACTATAAATTACATCCTTTCGTGCTGCGCGTTCGAGGTCGTGTATAAGGAGCACAAGTGGCGTGTCAAGGGGCCACATACCTTGTTTTGTTGGGGGTGTCGAGGTAGTGGCGAACTTGATCGCGACCATAGCTGGGCTTGCACGCCCGAGTGGACGCCTATTGAGAGAAAGAAGCTATGAGAAGGGAAGGAAAGGGGTATGGGGTGATGTAGCGAACACAGAGACGCATGCGCAACAGATGGCGGCACATGCGCTTGTAAAGTTTCGCGGGACAGACAGGCATGTCATATCCCGATAACACCAATCTGCCACAGTGACAAAGTGTACATGCTATGGCCAGAGCATGCAACCAATAACAAATGGCTTCTACACAACGCACCACGCATGTACCACAACAATAAGGAAAGCAGGCGTACCACATATACGTTAACTGAACGGAACTCGCCCGGTGTCGAATCGCCACCCTCAGTCTAATAGTGGGGAAAAGAACGTCAAAGATGAGAACGAGTAAAGTGTGATAGAAAGCGCACTCCATAAAGGTGAGGAGAAGGTGCATCATTTCGGCAAAATGTTGTAAACATGCGTGATATTCATTCAACGGATATCAATTTCGTAATCATTTGGCACCCCTCCCGCCAACCAGCGAAAGGGCGATGAAAGATGGTAGGCGTACCGTGACGTGAGGGAATGGCTGCGGGCAAAGGCGTCGGTCACTCGAGGCCTGCAAGTCTGCATCAAACCGCCGAAGGTGAGAGTGAGGTTGGTTGAAGAAAAGGATGAGGGAGTGAAGAGGATAGAGAGCGCGAGTGCTTCATCGAGTGTGTAACACAAGTATGAATCATGAATTTATCATACTACTCCGGAAAGATAATCATCAGCACGACCACGATAATGATATACAGCACAAGATGGCGATGGAGAGCATACAAGTGGCGTAACTGTGGTTCGAAGGCAAGGTCAGGCGTAGATTTGTGGGCGGATAAACCTGCGGGTGACCAAGGTACGGATGAGTGCGGCTGTGGGCTGTAAAGGCAAGAGGAGGAGGAACGAAAGCGCGGAGAGGGTGCATCATTTCGACAAAATGTTGTAAACATGTGTGAATTCATTCAACGGATATCAATTTCGTAATCCTCTTGCAAATCCCCACGTGCCGGTTAACGCAAGCCGCCATCATCGGGTGGTGACTATACAAAAGGTGGTCGAACGTACCGCAGAGAATCAAGGCAAGCAAGCGCGTCGTCTCCACGATCTCGGTCGAGAAAGAGGCCCAACGTCTGTAGTGAACAAAACTTAGTGGAAGAAAAAGAAGAGTGGCGGAAAGGATAGATCAAGAGAGGGTGCTTCATCGAGTGTGTAACAAAGTTTGAATCATACTATATCATACTACTCCGGAAAAGTAATCATCAGCACGCCCACTCCACTAAGGGACAGAGAGAGAGAGAGAGAAGGCGACCATACCACTGAAACTCTTCACGAGGATTTGCTCGAGGCCGCACGCGTTCGAAGTAGCCCTCAGGCACTGTTGATAAAAAGAGCGATCAAGGTGAGTGCGACGGAATGGGGGGGGGGAGCGAGGGAGGGAGAGGAAAAAAGAAGAGGGCCTTCATCGAGTGTGTAACACAAGTATGAATCATGAATGTATCATACTACTCCGGAAAAGTAATCATAAGGCGCCCCACCTACCACGCAAAGGGGACAGGCCAGCGTACCATGTGTGTAAACTTGCTGGTCACAGGTGTTGTTGGTGGTGTTGTCTGCGCACGGTGGAGTTGATGACTCGTTGCAGCCAAGCGGTCACGCAAGCAAACAACGAAAAAGGTGAGCGCACGGACGGGCTCCTACAAGAGGCTGGGCGGGGAGATCAAACCGTGGGAGAGGCCCACGGCCAATAGAGGGGAAGAGGCGGCAGGGCTCGATCGAACAGCTCATCTGTTGTTGGCAAGGTCGCTCGCTCCATTGATGATCGAGAGAGGTTGGCGACCATGGAACGGTACTTGAGCGGGGGAGGGACGTGTGTGACCATTGGTGACTTGCGACGAGCTGTGACATCCAATCTGACACCACCTGACGCTCCCTGAACCACCCCCCCCCGGTGGGGAGGGCGAAGAGAAGGAGACGTGCATCATTAGCATCCCATGCCCAGGCAAGAACGAAAAGCGAAAAGCGAAAGCGAGGGGGGGGGAGACGTAACCGGTAATCTGCTCCTCCTCTTCACACACTTCTCGTTTCGTTGTTGGTGGTGGTGGTGGTTTGACTTGGCCTCGTCATTCCGTTCAACTCGACTGCGACGTGCGCGAAGAGGAGCCCGCGTTCAACGGATGTGGTACATCCTCGACGAAGCCGCGGCCTTCTCCTCGCTCTTGGCAGCGGCGGCGGCGGTCGACGAAGCGGCCTTGGTGGTGGCGGTGGGCCACACGTTCCAGAAGCGGAGGCGCTCGTCGCCGGCGCCCGACACGATGGTCTGGCCGTCGGGGCTGAGCGACATGAAGAGCACGCGCGACGTGTGTCCGTGCATCTCGCCCACCTTGGCCATGGTCGGGTACTTCCACACGGCCAGCTGGTTCTGCGAGTAGCCGTGCGACGACACCAGCTCCTTGTGCGTGCGCGACCACACGAGTCCGCACACCTGCGATCCGGTGTCCACCGAGTTGACGCACGCGCCGCTGCGCGTGTTCCACATCTTGATGCACCGGTCGGCGGCGCCGCCGCCCGAGGCCAGCAGGCCCGCCTGCCACGGGCACCAGGCCACGGCCTTGACGGCCGACGTGTGGTGGTCGAGCCTGAAGCGCGCCTCCGTGCGGCCCTCGTCCCACACGTTGAGGATGTTGTCGTTGCCGCCCGAGGCCAGCTGCGTGCCGTCTCGCTCCACTTGAGGCCGCACACCTCCTG